ACAGCGTGTTGGGGGGGCGGGGTATATATTGATATTAAAAGGTCGAGGTCTAGAATATGGGTACCTAGACATTGAATATTAAAAAGAAGTACATTTGAAGCTTGATATTCGGTTGTTGGTCTCTCTTTCTTCCACTGTTTACATATATCAATATCGGACATTCTACAGTTCCACTCGTTACATACTTCTTTAGCAATCTTTTTTTCTTTTACAGTACCATGATAATTAACGATGTTGTTATCTTCAATGTATGGATCAGCATATCTTGTTATTTGACTATTCATTATCATGTGCTGATGATTCCATTGCTTCCATTAAAGATGTAATTTGTTTATTCATTAATAAGGACATCCTTTCTTGATACTGTGGCAGGCTATGAAAGTGTTCAGACAGTTTATTCATCTGTAAATGTAGTTTTTCAGCTGATTCATTAAGTTTGATTTTCGTTTCTTCATTTTGTTCATTTTTGTGGAGTGATTTTATAGCTTCCGATGTGGTTCTAAGTAGGTCTATTCCTATTGGGATAATACACGATAAAGTTGTGGCCGACATGCTATTGATCATTTCATTTTGTGTTTTAATTTGTTGAGCAACTATGTACCATCGATTTTGAGAATCCTTTAATTGTTTTACGTATTTCGCATTCAGCTTGTTTAATTCTTTGTTGAATTCTTCCCGTATCAATTTAATCTCTTCATTCATGTTTTGTGTCATTATCGTTTCATTATTAGTTGTATGTGACCTAGGAATAGGTTGAGGCCATGCGTGGGAATTCATATTAAATGTTGAATTAAATGTCGATCTACTTTTTTGTTCGTTTTTTTGATAGTTTGCAATGATATGGGATCAGTCATTTCTATCTCGACATTGAGCTGGTATAAACAATTGTACATGTTTCGGTAAACGTTCAGGATGACGTTTTAGTTCTCTAACGAGTTCACATCTATACGTAGCTAGAGTTGGACATTTATAATCTGTGGATAAATGTCCACCACTACAATGATGACATTTAATTGTACATTCAGTATGATCTCCAGTTATTCAGTCGCCTCCATAGCGACGGCGTCGATCATTGTTTAGGTGACATTGCCTTTTCATATGTCCGGGAGTGTTGCATTTGGAACATATGAGTAGTTTTGGAGCTTCGAGAAATTCATTTACTGTGTAGAGTTGACTAAAAAATGCTATTTGTCCATTTTTGAGTATGGTGTTATAGTCGTTTCGTTCAGTAAAATCGATTCGTACGTGTCTTGTTCGATTTGTTTTAGTTCCCATTAATTCATTACATGAATATTGTGAACTATATTTACCTTTTACCTCCTGTCGAATTTCATCAATTGAGATGTGGTTATGAACGAATTTAATCAATACGCAGAATGGTGGTGGTAAATATTTTGGGAGTTGTGGTTCAATTTTTATATTATTAATTTCATGTGCATAATGCGATAATATGCATAAGGAAATAAATATTTCCATACATTTGGTTAATACCATCATATCACCTTCTGCATTTACCCACCATGCTTCAAAAGATAATAGTTTGTTGCATGTGGGGTTTTCGTTTTTAAATTTCTTTTCAATATATTTGATAAGTGTTTGAACAAAATAAGAACCATTTTGACTTTGAATTTGAATTTTAGGTTACATATAATTTTGATCGGAGGGTAGTGACAGTCGGTTGCATAATTGATCGCTTGTTTGGAAATAAGAGTTTGACGTCGATCATTATCGGCTTGATTATCATTACACGTAAAACCATGATGAACATTCGGGTCAATCCATTCGCCAATGCGTTCATCATTATCGCAATCTTCTTCGGTATTGTCCTGACTAATTTGTCGCTGTCTTTTATTGTTTGAATTTCCAGGATCATCACCCAGTGTACTATGATTAGTTAGATGCCTTTTGAATGTTGATGGTAATCCTCGAATATTATTTTGAGATATACGATTATTATTGTAGAAGTGCATTTGAAGGTGTGCAGTTCCTTTGTTTGTTGAATTTCTCGAATTCGGATTCCACTGGTGGTTGTTAACTATATCCGTATTCATTTTATTTCGGTATGTATCCCCAGCACCTTAGTTGATTACAGGTAATATGCCTTTTAAGATTGCCAAAATGCAAGTGTACGTAGCACGTGCCACGTGAACGTATATGTCCTTGTAAAGCACGCAGAAGAAGCAACGATAATAGAGAAAAGACGTCTAACTCGTATATGTAAAAATGATGAATGATGTCCAAAATACTTGCTATAGATGCTTAGCACGTATTAATTCTATTAAAGATGAGAAAGTCGTTCTAAATATATTATTCTTCTATTTGAAATCAAAATCAATGAATGTTCGATATGTTACAGCTAAAATGCTTCTTCACCTTTCTCAATTATCTCTTATTCCATCAAATCAAGTTCAAACAGCATTGAATAATCTTTTGATTGATCCTAGTTCAAAAGAGAATCTTTGGTTGGTTAAAGATCAAGGCAATGCCTGGATGGAATGTGTATATTATAATGCTGGACCGTTTAATGACGTTGTTTATTCTCTTCTCATTCAACATTTGACTGGTGATATAAATACAATTATTCGAAGAAATGAACTAAATAATATTGATGCGAGCTTTAATGAATCCGAACAAGCAGCTCGTTTGGCTTCATGTCTCTATGAGGCAAAACAGAAGAAAACCTATTATCTGGACAACCTTCGAAAAAAATCAAGTCAGCTGACTGAAGATCATGAAGAGTCAACATCATATTATTACTATCTTACAACACAAAGCTTTCATTGCAAAACCAAGAGAAACAATACGCTACTTCTTAATTTGTTTTTTGTATTTTTAAATACGAAAATAAATCACATTTCCAATCATGAGACACTGTTTAAAATGATAAACTAATAGCATGAGACGTATTTTCCCTATATTTTGAATGAAAAATAACTCAAATTCAAGAAGGTTGATACTTTTTAAGAATTTACAAGTTCAAGAGCGTGTGGGGTGTGGGTGCTATTACAGGATACTTCCATACACCCACACCCACACCAACCCACTCACACCCACTCCAACCCACCCACACCCACATCCACACCCACACCCACACCCACACCCACACACCCACATCCTCTAATGAAAACTGAGCTTTGAAACCAAATTTCAATTTATAAATTTGAATAAACAATTTTGAGGCTCCCTCAAGTACAAATTGTCTTACAGCAAATATACGGGATGTGGATGTGGATGTGGATGTGGGTGGGTGTGCGTGTGAGTGGGATATTAGTGTGAATGAACAGAAGATCCACACACACACCCCAAATCCTTTACATGATAACTTTCGAAAAGACAGTCAGATCACGATGAAAATTTCTACACAGTTTAGTCTTAACAGTATCTTGGTCGAGAGAAGAAGATGAGCAGGATCGGCCAAGCCGTCCTTGAGTTATTGCAAAAGTACCCATTTTTTCCTATGGCGTCTTATGGGAAAATCGATCTATCCCCACTTTCGTAAAAGACTTTATCATAGTCAAATAAAACCCTAACTATTGTATACCATTTGATAGAAAATTTCAATAGCTACAAAATAATATATAAAACATTAGAAAACAAGAATACTATCTCACTCATTACAAAGCTAAATAGGCAAGAATCGGTTCTGTTTTTGTGGACGCTCTAATTGATCCCCCACTAGAGTTATATTCTCTGACCATGGAGGTGTATGGGTGTGAGTGGTGGGTGGGAATTGAAAGAAGAGACACCCACCCACACCCTTCGATGGTTAGCGCCTCTACCAGTGAAAAATGCACTTATTACTGGAACAGTGCGGAACTTCTTTTTGTTTTGTGTTGTTGAATTACTAATCCACTCAACAGTTCACCCTGAAAATTCTTAGCTGGATCAAAAACTCAAGAGAAAAGATTATTTTATCAAGTGTGTTGATATAGATCCTCATGAGTTTCATGCTTTACATTTATTATTTATATTGAAGAGATAGGCTTTTTATGAGATACACAGGTAATTTTATAGTTTAACTATTAGCACTAAAGATCAGCAACTAGGTAACTTCTTTTCCATCACTACGTAGAAACCATTACACATACGTGAAATTGAAAGCAAAATGGCGACGTGTATGAAAACATATTAATGGCAAAGAAAACAAACACCATTGGAAAGCGACGAGAGTATTAAGATCGATTCTCTTGTTTATTCATTTCAAAACATTTTTTTATCGTTCTATTAGTAACTCTTACATTCTGTTCTAAATGGAAGCCAGAATCATTTTTTTAACGATTAAAACGTCAGTAAACAGCATAGAGCAAAAATGATTGACAGAACAACAAAAGTGACTGGCAAAATATGCTGCTGCTTCTCTTTCTACTAAATTCAAAATATGGTGAGTTCAAATCTTCTGATAATCGGTGTCATGTTCGATTCCTCTTATTTTCATATTTACGACAGAACCTTCTGAAATAATAAGCTCGGATCTACTGGATACTAGGCTACAACTTCTTCAGTCCGACAGATTTAGATAGTATTGTACGAGAGAGGCAATCCCGGATGTGGGTGCAGATGTGATTTAAAATGTATAGTTACAAGTATACCCAGCCTAAACTCATACCTACACCCCAGATGAAAAATTAACCATGACCATTGTAGCACTCTTTTATCGCACATTTCGCCATTTTTTTTATTAAAGATATTGATAGTCATGAAACTGCAGATGAATGATAGCGTAGTTATTCTAAGAACTGATACACTCAACATTGCTTTTCGCTGTCTTAGAAAATATAATGATATGTCATAGGTTCTGAGTGGTATACTCTTGGCTTTGTGGCTAAGATTTCTTCCACTTATGAATAATCTATGAGCTCCCACTTTGAAAATAAATACCACTGACCGATATCCACTAGTAGCAAATTCAGAATATCAACTTTTTCGTTTTCATTCATACGATAAAGTTTTTCTGCTACATATATATATATATATATATATATATACTAATTAGTATGAAATTGGGATTCACTTCCGACAACGCTACTCGATAGAATTTGTCAGATTTTACTCAATTTAAAATAAAATAAACCGGGAACGATTTTAATAATTTCGATTTAAACTGTTTGAAAACATACTGTTCTGTTCTCGAGATGCTTAAATTTCTTTTGGAGAGAGACATCGCTTGAAAAGCACGTGTTTTGTGATCTTTTTGTGACACTTGCATTTCGTTAAAAATGCATTTGTTTGACTTGAAATTCTTGTTGTGAATGGGTGGATGCGATTGTGGGGTTTGGCACGTCTTTTTTTTAGAGGAACATCCACATCCTGTACTCGTTGATTCACGGTTTCTTTTACCTATTTGTTCACAGTGAAAATTACAGTTCAGATTTTAATGAAAAATAGTTTTTAATAAACAAAAACAGGTTGCTTGGTAAGTTTAAAATCATGATTCCGAAAATCAGGTTTATTTTGGTCGATTACAAACGTTTTTCAGGCAAAATCAAATACAACCCTCTTTTTTTCGTCATTTCTAATCTAGTGAGAAAAGTTGGTTTTCTCAATAGTACAAAAACATAATGAAACCAAAACGCTATGTACTTTTCTGCCTGACCTTGTAATAAAATAAAAAGCAGACATATCAACTAGACATCAAAGTCGATCATACTTGGTGTTTTTACGAGGTTAACTATTTGCTTCAAAAGATCACCCAGGCCTTAAAATGTAGCATTCTAAAAATTAAATATCCCCACATGATTTCCAAACTTATTCTGGTAAATGCAGTTTAATGCACTATATTAGAAAACTGTTTTGAGCTTGTGTAACAATAGAAAAAGTTCAAAATGGGAATTTCTTTACAAATTATGAGTATCTTGTTTAAAGTAGGAAATCATTCAGCTTTTTTCCATATCTTATGCTAAAATAGGTGCTTGAAAAACTTTCCTATTTATATTTTTTTAGAGCTTGCTGACCTATGCCTAGCTGTATCTAAATGATCAAAGGATTCTTTTGTTCATCTATTAAATAAATTATCTGCATGGAATTTAGAATGCGAAGGGCAAAGAGTGAGCTAATTAGATTGATTGAATTCAGGGGAAATTTTTGATTCAATTCAATCTACATGGACTATCTTGTGAGTACCTCAGAATTCGAATTCATGGATACTCAGTTACGTGTATCACATGCTATATTTTGGGCTTGGAGCTCTATAGGGAATCTGCTTTTGTAGGAAAACCTTATATTGAGAATGGTTAAATTGTAGAAAAGCATTAAATGAATACCTAAAAGCAGTGGCTCTATCGAAGTCACCAACGTTTCCAATCGCATTCGTGTTGTGTGTCACTGAAACGACAATGAAAATTCTATTGAAAATCATCAAGTTGTACATAGGCTTTGCATGTGACTATATGCGTTTGATAGACTTTATTATGAACAAAAGTTAATCGAACTGAGCCACTGGTCATAGTTTGCTCATGATAAGATGTCAAAATGTTAGTGAATTTTACTTGCACGGCTACCGTTTTCCTGTAAAATCGTACTGTTGAATCTTAATCTGAAACTTTATCAAAGAAGCAATCTCAATTAAATGATTTTGGAAATGATATTTTAGAATTTTCGCATGGAGTTCCTCGAATACATGAAGTTTTCGCAGGGTATGTGTCTTCTACAGGATTGTTGACAAAGTCGTTATACCTTGAAAACTTCATATCTTGAATATACTTTACCCGAATAGAAATATTTATTAGAGCAAAGGTTCAGATTAAGATTTAAAAGGATAAGTCTTCAGAAATACAGTGGATTTATAGGTAAAATTTACTGAAATCATCATATCTCGTGTGCAATCAATGAAAAACAGCTTCCTGTTTCGAATAAATCATCGTTCATAGAGGCTTACCAAATGCAGACGATTCCATGCTTAACCTGAGTTATATTTTAAGGACTTCTCTTCTTAGTTTCCAACATACAGCTTTTATGCTAAACGATATTGATATTCACATACGTAGCCTATGACGATCTAATACGACAAGTAGTCAAAAATATCTTCAAGTAATATCTGGATTGAACATTTTGAAAGCTTAATTTACAAGCCAATTCCATGGGAATTCACATAAGCAGAGGAAAAGAAGTCGTTAAATTGGATACTTCAATATTATTGACAAAGGTCAATCATATGCCTGTTAGAGATACGGCTGAGCGATTAGCTATTCGTGACTCCAATCCCGTGAAACCTTCATCAAAAACTCTCGTGTCAAAGTATTCTCCCCAGTATAAGATTGATCGTGACTATGATAGTGATCCATTCGATGATACTATTATTAGCCCATCGAAGAGTGATTTTCTCGACATTTCTGATTATCAGCACCAGGCACTCAGTATATTGGCAAAAGAGAGATCTTTCACACTTCCTGAACCAGCTGATCCGAGTGCATTCGATGATGCTTTTATTCAAAAACGACATCAAGTTATTCAAAATCAGATATATCGAAAACTCATTGATCAATGGGCAAATATGACCACCGTTCAGCAATTAGTCGCAGCGATAAATTTTTATACTCGAAACAAATCTCTCGTTGATCGTATTTGGTTTGTGTTCTATTGGATTGTAAACAATATTGCCTATGATCCTGTATCCTTGATTCCTGGCAGGCGTGCTCAGCAATCAGCTGAAAGAGTATTTCGAACACGCAAAGGTGTTTGCGCTGGCTATTCGAATCTACTCCAACATTTGTGTACTCAGCTTGGTATTAAATGCGTATATATTGGTGGTTTCACAAAAGACGAAATAATGAATAATCAAGAAACGCCACTTATTCGTACTAATCATGCATGGAATGCTGTTGAAATCAGTCATCATTGGTATTTACTGGAACCAACATGGGCAGCTGGATATTTAACTGAGAAGAATACCAAATTCGAACGTCGTCTTGATTTTTCCTATTTTCTTGCTCGCCCAGATCAATTCATCTATAGTCATTTACCGAAAGATTCAAAGTGGCAATTTTTAAAACATTCAATATCAATGCTACAACATACACATTTGCCGCTGATTTATCCAGCTTACTTTAGTCTCGGACTCGAGTTGATTAGTCCTTGTATATCAAATAACATGAAATTTGTTCCTGGCAAACCTTTTGGTGTAATCATCATACGTGCTCCATCAGACATTGAGATCTATGTTTTTGTTATGTTAAATGATGAAGAAGTGATTGATGGATATGAAATACGTCATTCTAAAAACAGAGATTTCCGTTATATTTATATAGCTCCGGCTCATACTGGCATGTATACTGTAACTATTTACGGATATCATCCACTCAATAATGAAGGTGCTCGTGTGATAAAGGTCAAATTTAATGTAACGCATTTACGTAGTCGCTTAGTTAAGTTTGCAAAAAAATGGCACACATTCTACGAACATGGCTTCGAAGTCCTCTATCCGAGAAATACTGGTACTATTCAGTTAAAATCTCCAAATGAAAATCATTGTCAAATTTTAATTCGAACATCTGCTCATACTCAATTAAATGGTCAATTGAGAAACCATGCAGGCAAGAAAATAAACGGTGGCGAACGGATCTACTACGATCAAGGAAGAGATGTTTGGCGTTGTAAGTTTGCTCCAGATCAGAATGGTTGTTTCGAAGCTCATATTTTAGCGAGACACAAGTCAGAGTCAGACAATAGTGTCTTCAAACCAGCTATCACTTTTCAACTACAAGTAGATCGTTTAAAAAACCCTATTTCGTATCCAAAACTTTATTAACATTTTTTTGATTTGAACCTTTGTCTTCTATCTCCAACTTCACAAAACCAATTGAGTTTTAAAGAAAATTCAGGCATCGCCCAAATGAATATTCATTCACCTGCTAATGTACAACTTAATTGTCGCATGGAATATGCAGGCCAGAAAGTCAAAAATGGTTCATTCTCACAGTTCAATACTGATAGACAGCAATGGGAAATTTTGTTTGCGACTCACTATATAGGCCTTCATCAACTCTTGATCTCGGCTCAGCTCAATGACAGTCCTTTTGAGCCAGTCGCTCAATTTTCTCTCAATACAGATTGTCTTCTTTCTCGACCAACAAAGTTTCCTGTTGTTTCTTCACGCTTTCATATTGCAAAATGCTATATATATGGACCAATGGTGGATGAACTCGAAGCCGGTACTAGTGTACATTTTCGTTACTACTTGCCAGGAGCTAAGCGTGGTTTTGTCAAAATTGACGAAAATCAAGAAAAATCGTTTTCATTGATTGGGTTTCTATTGGAGCAGACTCTGATAGTGAACGGTCATAAAGTGACCATTTTTGCACAGTTTGACGAAACATACGAAGAACTTGTCAGGTATCTGGTTAAATGAAATGAAAACTTTACACATGTATCTATTCTTTCAGAATATAAAACAAAAACTAATGATAGTTTTTCGCATGTTTTCTTTAAAATAAAGCAAATCTGATGTGTTTCGAAATAAGCTATATCTTAGTATTGAGGGTGTGGGGGTGAGTAGGTGTGTGAGTGTGGGTGTATGTACGAATTCACAGAATAGACATCCACACCTTCCGTAGGTCCATCAGATTCCAACACTATGGAACAGAATGGAGGTCTGAGACCCCGAATCGTATAGGGATGCATCTGCTTTATAGAAAGGGATGGAAAAATCTGATTAGATTATGTTGTGGGAATGATTCTACTGGGAACATTATTTTCATTAAATAAAGAAAATAACTATTGCATTTTAGGGTCAAACATTCTCTATAAAAATAAAAAGAAATCAATTAATGACATATTTTATCATTCCGTTTATTTCAATATACATATCGATTTGTGCGATTTTCCTTTGGCAATGTATTCTATTTATTGACATTTATTTGATTAATCTTAATCCAATAAATATATCAAAAATCTTTTGTTGATGTCATCAGCAATCCACATCACATTATCAGAAGATATTTCTATAAAGATTTTTGAAAGATACTCGATAATATTGAAAATTATTCATTTTATACATATAATTTCGGGTTCGAAGCTAATTTATGAAAATTTCTATTTCTGGGGACAATGTGAAAAAAGTTCTCTTGTTCTCTAGTCATTATTTTGATCATTTGTTCTATCTATCTATCGAAAAAAAAATCAAGTAGGGTGTGGGTGTGGGTGTGGGCGGGGGGGTGAGGGTGGGTGGGGGTGGGGGTGGCGGTGGGCGTGCGCCGGTCCCCG